AGTGCTCTCCCCGGGAGCTGCAACTTCGCGCCCGGGGCTGAGAAAGTCCGCGGAGAGCCCCGCGTAAATGTAGGCACGGTTGTCCGTCAGCCCCCGGCGGCGTTTAGGATGCTCCGTGGTGTTGCACCGTGTTGTGTAAAAGGTAACGAAGTAGTCGGAAGACGATACCTCAGTTACAGCGTCTGCTGAAAAGTGAAAAGAAAAGAACAAAGGGATTTATGATTTTATTATTTAATTTGGTTTAGGAAAATAGAAAGCCACGCCACCTGATGATCCTTTTTGTCCAGGCTCTTGTCTCCAACGTGAGCTGCCTGCAGAAGTGGGAAACGCACACAAAACCTGGGAAAAGTGGTTTGGAGTTTAGTCCTCACAGTTTCATCCTAATCCCCTTCTCTTAGTTTGTGTAGTATCTCGAGTTGCCCCGGTTTGTTTTCCTCTCAAGTGTCTGTTTTTAAAACCCTAGTATTAAAGTAAGTTTAGATAGTCCTGCAAATTAGTACATTTGTTGTGGCTTGTTAGGGAGTGAACTGATGAGGTATTCCTTTTCTTGCCCTGAGTTTTACCATGCCAAGGAAGATACCAAAGTAGTATAATATCCTACACATTTCTGAATAGCTAGTGCTTTTCTAGGGTAGAGGATTTACCTTTGATTTCTTTCCCCTCCTTTAAAAAAAGAAGTGTTTAAGACTGACTCACCACATTTGTTTACTTATCTGTAATCCTAATTGATAAGATAGTTTCACAGGATAACATTTTCAATTTTTATCAAGATTGTGCATGATACCTCTTTATGCTGTCTTGGCAGTCAAAACAGCTCAAACTCAACGCAGCCAAAACAATACTTTTTCTCCTAGGTTTTCACCATGTTTCTCCTGTTGATAAGGTATCTCAAGTTCTGTGGTTGTCGAGGCCTCTAATTTTAGCGTTCTGTTTGATTCAGGTAGGTTTTCAAGGATTCTTGAAAAACTCATCTCAATGATTCTTTCTTTCTGCATAAGGTCCCTGAGATGGTTTCTTCTATCTCATCGTCCCACAGCTTGTTTTTACTGTAGCTCCTCTCTTCTTGGTCCTCTTCCACTGTCAGCCCCTCATGGCCACAGCTTCCTTCATGCCGGCGCTGGCACCCAGCTCAGCCCTTAGTAAGCTGATGGAGCTTGCTGAAGCAGCAGGAAACCAATCCAAGGGAAAGAAACATTTTTTGCTGGTTTTATGAGCTGGATCACTTCACCAAGGATGGGAGCACAAGAACTTGCCAAAAAAAAAAAAAAAAAAACCACCCAAAAACGGAAGGAAGAGGGAATTTCCATGGGGAAAGTGAAAGAGAATAGCCCATTTCAACAAGGATGAGCTCTTAATTCAACTCAGCCATCTCACTGAGCCATCCCTGAGAACATATGTATAATTCAGTTGGTAGGCAGTAACCCATTAAACTGCAGTAATGCCATTGCACTTAACTAGTATATGATGAACCAACAACTGCAGTTTGTAAGTCTTGCGGATAATGTAATGTAATGTAATATAATGTAATGTAATATACATCAGCTTTGGGATCTTGCTCTATGGCCAGGATTCCTAGCCATTATTGTATAAAACCAACAATCATTTTCATGAGATCACAGAATAACAGCAGATATTAAAAAATCATTCTCCCATGGGAAAACATAAGGATGCAGCATTCCCAGCCTTCACAGCAGTTGCAAACAGTACAGCCTGCAAACAGGTACAATTTCAACTCTTTCTGCAGTGGCCAATCTATCACGAGGTAAAATTGTCCTTAGGACTAGGTGACGATGTTTGTTTTAGGAAATTACTCCAGCTGACTACAGCTGCCAAAATGCCTTCCTTCCCTGCTTACTTTTGGCTCTGAATACTTAAATAACAGGTTAGCTGAGCAAAGAAAGTACTTGTAGTCTGCAGTGGGTAAGACCATCCAGTGCCAAGTAATGAATGGGAAATCAATATTACTCTCTTCACTTGACAGGTTGATTACAAAAAGTGTAACAATGGTACCCAAGTTCACAATAAAATATAAATGTACAAGACTTATTATGCAAACTTTCTGCTTTTAAAGTTTCACTGTAGTGAATTTAAAAAATATGGTATCCCTCAAGCACAAAGCAATCAGTTGGTATTGCAGAGTAGTTTGTTTATGGATACAACTGCAAAAGAACATAGTTCCCATTTTGCTAGATTTAGGACATCGGCTGACATCCTACGTTTGATATATCTGTGTTAGTGAAAGACATTAAGTCAGGACTAGTGGAAGACAGGCTCTTCATCTTAACAGTTCCTCCGTTCCCAGCTGATAACCTCCTTCTCACACGGGCTACCCCTGGCGTGGTGGTGAGCTGCTCTTCTTTGAGGGACACAACCTCTTGGCAGAGGGATGGTAACCATCAGCTGAGGGGAAGCGCAGTACCTTAACTCAGGCTGGCTTGATCTCATGAGCTGTATATTAGTTTCAGAAGAGAATGTAGCAGAGCTACAGAAGTACTATCTTTTTAAGGTCACACTTTAGTTGTGATGGATTTGGGGCCTTACATGTCCTTGCTGGTCCAGGGAGCTGCTGACACCCAATGAGGTGCCTCAGCCTGATCTATTCCGGGACACAAAGAGAGGGAAGAACTCAGCTGAGTGGCGTGAGTTAATGGCTCTGCTCTTCCTTCAGTATTTCACTTTTCCAGCCAGGTTTTCCACTCGATGCTATGCCACAAAAGCAATAAATCTGCACACTTGTCTTCCTTCCCCTTTTCCCTAACACTGCTGCCATTTTTGGGCAACATCTGCTCTTCATTCCTAGCCCAATATTAATAAAGCAATAAGCAAAACAGGATGTGCATTAGGAGCCTAATGGGCTTTAGGTCCTCCTGGAGCGTGAGCATTGGGAAGCATAAAGCGAAAGGACAAGTAACTTCACTCCTTAGGGACCTTCACCAAGCTAGTGTCCTAATGAACTCCCCCGGGCAGCTTCGCTGCTGGGAGAGAGCAGCTCATTATTTTTATTTGTCATGTCAGAGAGAGCACTTATAACGGCAGCTCCTAAACTAAAGAGCTCATTTAGTACGAGAAATGAGCTTAACCACACTCAGATACTGTTCAGATAAATCCACCTTAATGTTTGTCGGTCTCCGGAGAAGAGCTAGCTACA